CTTCAGGATGTGCAGAGGCTGCTCAGGAGAAGGCAACAGTGCATGGTAGCCCAAGTTGCTGCCTTGTATCCTGTGAGAGTCTTCTATGATCAGGCACAGCATGCAGAAAACCGTTGTCAGTCAGAATCCATTACTCGTACTCCTCTCTTGAAGAATAATGTTTAACAGGATATGCATGACTTTGTGAATGCCCTTTTAGAAGGAATGACATTGCTATGACTTACTTTATGTGCACGCTAACAGACAATACATGAGATTGACTGGTTTGTCTATCCAATAGACCCCATTTGTTGGCTGTGTCAATTGAGCACTATCATTTAATTTCCTTGTGTGCTAGTACTGATCAATACTATATTTAATGTAGGAATGTCAGTGTTTACATTTCCTAGTCCATGACCTAATATTGAAGCTTCCCCCATCTCCCTGGTTGCATTTCTAGTCCATTACCAAATGTTTTGGTTGTATAGATCTTAATTTCTGATATGCTAATCTAGTTGATGGCATTGTATCTGCACTTGATGCCTGGAGAACTGAGGATGAGGAAGTGCAGTAGCCACTGCCGCTCAAAATGCATTCACATTCATTGAAATCTCCATTTTGGTTCTGAACTTCTGATACAGCTTGCTTAGGATATTCCTATTTAAATATCACTGGTTAAAATGTCCACAAATCAGTGTTTTCCACTAGAGAAATTAACAGGGGAAAATGGTGCCTGAATCAATTTATGATGAGATAACAGAATACTTTCAGGAGAGCATGGAATACTTGAGGAAAACAGAACACTTTTAGGAGCATATGGAACACATTTACCCAGCGTTATGAAATCTGCACAAGTATATCCATTGACATTTTTTGGTTGGCAAATCATGAAGTACAGAACAAAGCAAAAGAGTCACAGTGACAGGGAGCTTCAGAGGTCTGCAGCTGTTCTGGGATATGCAGCACAAGTCTGTCTGTCTACCGGGTATGTTTTATTTTCACTATTTTTCTTCTGTGTAACTTAAGTATCCCAACTTAGCTGCGCTTACTGTGTGATATCCAAGGGATAAGGCACCATATATATTTTTGCACTATCAATCTTGAATGTATTTGGGTAAACATTATGCTACAGCATACTTATTGTAGAAACTAGAAAAGATCAATTCTAGAACATTGGTTTTTCATTTATTAGTCTTTTTTGAAAATGTATATTAGTTTGGAATGTCAAAACATAAGCATCATGGTCCTTCCAAATTTCAGGTGATTTTTAAAAAAGAGATTTCATCTGCTTATATTGAAAACCAGTAAACTATTTAACAGACTCTGGGGATACCAGATTACAATTTGATCAGCAGAAACGAGCAAAACACAGCTATCCTATCACAGAGAGCTCTCAGATCTCGCCCACATTTGAGATAATCATTGTTGGAGGTTTGAAGTTATGCATCCAGTTCAGCACTCTCTGTTAATGTCACCAGCTTGTCTTGAACTCTTGATCTTTTGAGTTCAGCAACAGGCACCGCTTTTGCAATAGAGCCACACCAGTGAAGATTACATCAACAGGATTGCTGGGAAAAGTATGTTCGATCCCCATCTTGTTACGATTGTTCCTTAAAGCCCAAGCAAAACCTGCAAAAACAAAATGGTCTAACTGCCGAGAAACCCCAAACTTACATTTGATCCAACAATCCCTAAGATCTGCTGTTGACACCGGAAACCCTGCCAGTGTAATACTTCCCTCAATCAGCACCGAATCATTCTTGCTATACCAAAGAAAGTATGGTCAGTATACTCTAAATCTCCACACAAGCTACACTTAATACTGCCCTTCCAACCTTTTTATGACATAGCTGCCAAACGAACACCTTAATCTTCATGGGAAGTTTACATTTCCAGAATACCTTTGCTTGTTGGTCTATAATCCCTCCATGGGCCAGAAATCTGTATAAAGACCTAGTGGTAAAGAATTTAGATTTATCTAAATCCCAAAATACCTCATCCTTCCGATCATAGTGAATCTCAGTGAATCACCAGCAGCATATCATCCCAAGCCTGTATTTCTGCTTGGTACAGACATGAGACATCTCCTAAACTAGATACTCCATGCTCCATACAGATCTCATCTTGTTCCTGCATATCATCCCAAGATCTGTATAAACTGGGTGGATCTGCCTGGGCACATCCCTGACTCCATTTATCTCAGCACGTAGTGGGCATCAGGGTCGGTGTGACCGGCCATGGCCGCCAACGCGCCAGGCACCGCCTGCCCCCTAGGCTCTGCAGTACCCCACCGCCCAGAGCATAAGCGCCTGGGTGAGCACGGAATAGCGCCTTGTGGTACACTGAAATTGCACCCCCCCCCCCAATGAAAAAAGTTAATTTTGTATTTCCGTTATCTTCTTAATGGAAATGGGGAATCCCCTTGTTGAAAAAAAAGTTAATTGTGAAGAACCCCTGTGCTGAGAAAAAATGATGTGTCCCCTATATATTTCACCTTAAGCAATCGAGTCCAAGTCTCATCAGAACATTAATTAGCTTCCGAATCCACTTTACCAGCAAACATTCATTCATTGTATTGGTGTTTATCACCACAAGACCCCCTTGGTCTGTAGGCCTGTTAACCGTGGCCCATTTGGCCATATAATACTTGAAATCATCACTAGCACCACGCCATGAAAAAACTTTCCCTAATAGAATCCGTCTTATCATGAGTCCCTTGAGGTAAGAGGTAGAAGTCCATAGTCCATGCATCCAGCCTCTTAATCATTTCATTGCGAATGCTCATGAAAGCTGGTATTCCAAGATGGTCATCAGAGATTGGTATGCCCAAGTAAGTGAGGCAAAACTCCCACGTTACAGTTTAGCATATTAGCACGCCTTTCCTTCATATCCTGCTCCATCCGAAAAGCACCAAATTTTCAGGTGATCACCAATTACAATATCAAATATCTATAAAGCATAAGTAATATAAGAGTTCAATTTTTTTCTGCCTTCTTCTGCTTGTACCTCTGTTTTTCAGTCACAACAGTTGCAATCACGAGTTGCTTATCTTATGTATTTATTGTAGGCAGTTTTGCTCATAGCTCCTACCTCGATGTTCCTCTCCGATATGCTTTGCGCTTTGGAGGATCCCGATTGTTTGCCTTCACCAGAAGCATTATCTGCTGCTTCAGCTCAACACTTGAGTGTCGACAACACCCTGTCACAGCTAACAGGATATCCCCTTTTCCTGGAATGCCAAGAAAACGACCCCACTAGTGCATCCTATGCTATTTATTTGTTGCATAAGGTGTGCATTTTTGCTACCGAATCTTGTATCATAGCTGCTATATCTCCGTTGCAATGCTTGTCCGATCTAGTTTTCACCTGCAAACTGAGACTGTTCGTCCATTTCCATGTGGATGATTAGGATACAGAGCAGCTTCTGGAGTACACTGGAGTGGAGAGGTCAACATGTGTGTTTCAGGTTTCTCCTACATGTTTATCCTAGGCAAACTAGATATTGTGCAAATACCATGGATCAATGTCGACATCACAATTTTTGTGACCGACACGACACCTGAGATTCTGGCACGGTTCTCACAAGGCCAGTATTGAAGAATGGAAAACCGGGCGTCATGATGCAAAACAAATCCACTCCGAGTGGCATGGCTTTCCAGCCTGGCAATGTTGTTGCGTGACAATACTACCACTAATCTGTAGCCGATCAGATCGGCAAACCACAAAGCGGACTTTTTCTATGGTTGGGGTTGAGAAAGGCAGGGCTCTTGATGTGCCTTCCTAAAGGTGGTGCATCGAGGTCTGTTCGGCTGGTATTAAAGCTAGCTGATAAGCCAGTTGAAGCTGTTTTGTTGTGAGAAAAGAATACTGTAGATTCTAACTGATAAGCCGACTGATAAGTTCAAGCAAACATGCCCCACTGGCCATCATCATCCGCCGCACCACACCACACGACGGCGGCGAGCCGGCGGCCAAAGGTGAGATGAGAGATAGAGAGCCCGGAAAGAAGCTTTTCGGCACCGTCCAGGATCCACCCACCACTGAATTCCTCCTGATCCGTAAAAGATGCCAGCTGCAACGGCTCAACCAGGCAGGGCAGCACATCAGATGGTCAAGTCGGCGGATCCCCCAACCCCACCCAGTCACCCACCGCCACGCCTCCCCCTTCGAGGCCAGACCAAACACGCGGGAAAACAACCCCACCCACGCCGATCCCCGCTGTCCTCTCCCCCACTCCCGGCTCCCGCGGGCGGCGTGGACGCACGTGCCAGTTGCCACCGCCAGGTGGGTCCCTGGCGAGCGGGGCCCGCGCCTGCCACCTTCCCCCGCTGCCGTGTGCCCGTGCCCGTGCTCCCTGTTGCCAATTGCCATCGCTTTTGCCGGCGCGCCGCTCTCTCTTTGAGCCTTCCTTTCTCGTTCGGTACCCCTGACCTCCTCCTGTTCCCGTCTCTCTCTGCTCGGCCACCCGCCATCGCCATTGCCGCCCCGCCGCACTGGAGGCGCGCCAGCGGTGTGCGGCGGCCTAGGCCTTCCCGGTGGTTCCCTCTGCCACCGACGACGACGGCGGCGGCGATTCAGCCGAGGCCGCGATCCTCCTCGTGTTTTCGCGGCTCAGGTCTTTCTTCCTGAGGTGCCTCGGGTTTCTGATCCCGCTCCTGCCTGCCGCCGTCGCCGGTGACGCTCGCCTTGCTGTGCCCCCGCGTGGCGATTCTCGCTTTTCCAGATCCCGGGCTCCGATCAGATCACCGGCTACCTAAAGGTACGATCGGCCGATCGCTATGCTATCTGAGTGCATCTGAAAACAAGGATCATATGCATTTGTGTTCTTATTTGTGCTTTGGCATTTATATATGTTCTGTCCGACCTAAACATTGGTATATACTGTTATCTAGGCATCACATAAGCTGCAAATATGTTCTGTTTACTTCATTTCTTGTTCAGCCTGTCAAATCCAGCGAGTTAATGTTGCTTCTGTGTTTCCATGTGCTGGATTCGTCTAGGCAACTGACAGAGGGCAGGCCATGGGCATTGAGGTCGAGGCAAAGCACGATGCTTGGTGCAGCATCAAGAAAACGCTAAGGTGTTCTATCAGAACAAGCTGGAGATGTGCCTCTGAACATTGGGCAATATTCAGCCTAGTGCTACTGCTCTACCTGCTGTACAAGTACACGCCGGGTTTCTTCGCTTTCCTGCTTTCCACTTCTCCGGTGATTATATGCACCAGCCTTCTCCTTGCTGTGCTGCTATGCCATGGGAGCGCACACCTACCGGAGATCCATGAAGAAAAGAAGGCTCCTGAACAAAGTTCAGCTGGGAGCTCGTCCAGAAATGTTCGTACTGAAGAACAACAGAGATTTTCAGTGCCTACATTGAAGAAGAACATAGCCAGGGAGGCAAGTTTTGGCAGAAGGGACTGGAACAAGCATGCTGATCTGGATGAAAATGTTCCTTTGCTGAAGCAAGAAGTTGCTACGGAAGAGTACATGAAGTATAATGCAGAAAAAGAGTCTAAAGGTGCATTTTCTAGCAAGGATGAGTATGCCAATTCATTCAATGACGTGCATCGTAATACAGTTGACGGGGAAGAGGCCACCCTAGGCCTTTGCTCTTCAAGTGAGAATGTCAGTGAGGATGTTAAAGTGGTGGCAAAGCCAGATGGTCAAGGGACAGTATCTGCAGATGCACAGAGTGGTGAGGTGGCAGAAGTTTCAGACCATAAGTCTGTTGATGGAACTCCAGGTAAATGCAAATGGGGTCGTGCTGTTTCCGTGCGCCGGAGGAAGAAGCTTGCTGATATAAAGATTGAGGCTATTAATTCTGTTGTGGACAACCAATTAGACCATTCTTTATGCTCGCCATTCGATACATTTGGCAGCCATGATAACAGTTCATCAGGTTTTGACCCTGATAATGCAGAGAGACACTCTCCTGATGTTTCTATGACAGTCACTGCTCCGGTGCTTGATGAGACAGAGACGGGCCCTCCTTTGGGTGTTGATTGCTCTTGCCCTGATCTCGTTACTACTGATGATTCAGACAATCATTTCAACATATCTTCTTCTCAACCACAGAGTGTTAACAATGAAGTGGCTGACAATAGCAAGGCCAAAGATGATGGTGAGGAGAAGGATGATGCTGGAACTGAGCCTGCACTTCTGTGGACAGGTGACAACGAGACGAATGTCATGGATCTTGGGTACTCCGAAATCGAACGGAACCGTCGGTTGGAGACACTGATGGTGAAGAGAAAATCAAGGAAAAACATACAATTTGACCCTGACAGCATGGGCGGTGTAGCAGATGATGTATCACGATTCCGTCCCCACGTTCAGCCTATTTCAGTTTCAGCACGAAGGATGAACCTCTTTGCTGATGATGCAGAAATTCCAGGCTCGGCTCCTCCTATTCTGCATCCACGAGACAATAATCCCTTTGATTTCCTTACTGATGAACAATCAGACGACAGTGGCCTCCCTGCACCCGATAATCTGGAACCCCAGGAACCGATGCCAGTGCCGCATCAAGACGCGGTCTTCAGAAGGCACGAGAGCTTCAGCTTCGGCAGGCCGCCTCAGAGTCAGAGACACGGACCCAGCAGGTTCAAGCCATGCTTTGCCCTGGAGGAATTCAGCCTTGACGAAGCGAGCGCGAGCAGTTTCCAGAGGCAGTTCAGTGACAGGAGCGTGTCAAGGTTGAGCGTCGTCTCCGAGTGCGACACGGTCTCTTCAGTCGGCGATCAGGAGCACAACGACCTCATACGGAGCTACATCCGCGGGGTGCGCGAATCATCGCCGAGCCTGCTAGGACAGGACGGCGGCGATGGCGACGCTGTGTCTGTGTGTGCTGGAAACGAGTGCTCTGACGGGATCGGCTTCGTGGACAATGAGGCTCTGAATGCTGTCATCTGCTGATGATGAATGGATATGATGAGCCCTTGGACTTTCACTGCAACGAACTTTGATGATTGTGGATGAAGAGCAGACGAGGTTGTTGTAGCCCTTCTATGTTTTCGTTGTTTCTTTTCGTGTTTGCACTCGTCTGACAGGGGGTTTGTATTCTAGTATACTTGGTACGTTTGCACAGTACAAAACATGTATACTGTTTTGCTGTACATTCTTGCGTGTACTCCCCCCGTCTCAAGAGACTGTAGTTGTAGGGTTTAAATTTTGTCTCAAAAAGACCGTGTTGTAGGAGGTCATCATTTCATGTGGGACCCACTCAAAGCCGATCTGTTCTTGGTCATGGAAGTTTCTCGGAGGCAGACACCGCTCGGGTAAAAAAAAAAACAACCCCAGCTTACCACAGGTGCCCTCGTCCACTCAATTTTTGGTCTGCCGCAATAAAACGAAAAGAAAAAAAAATCAACCGGAGCTTACCCACAGGTGCCCTCTCGTCCACTCATTTTTGGACTTCCGCACCGCATCCTCCGCCTTCCTCCAGTTTTGTTCGCCATTGGAGCTCCTTTCCCCATCCTGCAGATCTCCTTCTCTTGTTCCTCTTCCTCTTTCAGCTATCACCTTCGTTGCGTACATGTCTGGCGGCACCAGGTTCCGTAGCCGTCGCCACGAGGGTGCCGCCAGGAAAGGCAGCGATGGTGGTGGCGTGCATCATGTCATGAAGCCAGCCGGCGTTGGGATCCAAAGTGAGGCCGCAACGTCGATCTGTGCCCGCGAGCGCCGTATAGGACGGGGTCGCCTGCGCGTCGACCATCTAGGAACTATTTGTTTATTGTTATTTGTTCTGTCTGCATGTTCGTTTGGCCAGGCTGGTTCACTGCTGATTCGTAAAGAAATATTACTTATTGATTTGTACGAGGTTTATGTGAAAAAAAAATATTGTTTCGTTTAGAAATTTATGATCGGTTACTATCGTTCACCCCAGCCGAACATGCCACCCCAGCCGAACAGGTTGTTGTATCTTCCACAAGCTCCTGGACGCAATTTAAACTAAGGGGTGTTTGATCCAGGGAATAAAGTTTAGTCTGTGTCATATCGGATGTTAATTAGGAGGACTAAATATGAGCTAATTAAAAAACTAATTACACAAGAGTAGACTAATTTACAAGATGAATCTATTAAGCCTAATTAATTCATCATTAGCACATATTTACTGTAGCACTACATTATCAAATCATGGATTAACTAGGCTTAAAAAATTCGTCTCGCAAATTAATCGCAATCTGTGTAATTAGTTATTTTTTTAATCTATATTTAATACTCCATGCATGTGCCTAAACATTCGATGGAATAGGGACTAAAATCTGGTCTAAGGAACCAAACACCCCCTAAGTGCAGTGTGCTACCATTTACAGCTGTCAGTGCATCAGTAATCTTTTTATTGGGGTAAAATTGTAATTTCTCGCCAAACTTAATTTGCGTGCTCAGTCCTACTGCAACGGTTTTTTTTAAGGACCGAAGGAGTACTGTACAAAGGATCAGATGCTAGAAGGCTGAACACTTGGAGCCAGCACCTGTTTGCAGTTTTGTTTGCACATTGTACCTTTTTCTTCAGTTCTGAATCTCTCCAGCAGTGTGGACCTGCGCTGCCCGCGGTTTCTCCAGTTCAGAGCTGTGGAGTTGGAATTGGAACTTGGGCCTTGTTTAGTTCATCAAAACTCCCAAACTTTGGCACTATGTAAAAAGAAGATTTCTCATCACATCAAATTTGTGGTACATGCATGGAGTACTAAATGTTGACGAAATCAAAAACTAATTGCACAGTTTGATTGTACTTTGCGAGACGAACGTTTTAAACCTAATTAGTCAATGATTGGACAATTATTACCAAATAAAAATAAAACGCTCTAGTGTAGCTCCAGTGCCGACGAATTCAGCCGGCGCGGAATGTGGCCGGAACTAAACGCGGCCTTGGAAAGCCTTGTCTTGTGGGGAGATTCTTCTCCCAACTTGGCGCTGGCGCCAACGAAAATGCTAGTCGTAGGCATTTTTCTCAGTAGCTTCTGCGCTAGCCGCTAGGAAAGGCATGCCAGCCACTGCACGACACGCAATCGCTGTAGATGCCAAAAACTTTCCCTGCACAAGTCACACGGTTCAAGGAGGAAAAGTGCAGCGTGGATAGAAATGCCAAAAACGACCCAACCATTATCATGGACGATGGACGCCGAACGCCGTGCTGCACAGCACCAAACCAGCCACATGATACGTACTTCCGAACAGGCTGTTTCGGTCTGTGAAGGTCCGGAGAATTCTGAGACTTGCGTCATTTCGCGATCAGATTGTTCTCAACTTTACTTCTGCATAAAGTTTTGATAGCTTCAGCGACTGGGCGCTCCATGACAAAGAAACCTTGCATTAAGCTACTCGTAGGGACGGACTGATCGGCAGATCACGGGGAAACAGAGACCGAGCTGACCAAGCCGGTTTTCAGAGAGAAGATGATGACGGGCCCGGCTGGCAGTAAAGTCGGCTGATAAATTGGTTGAAGCTGTTTTGTTGTGAAAGAAAAATTATTATATATTCTAGCTGATAAGCTGACTGATAAGTTCAAACGAATAGGCCCGAAGTCTGCTCGGAGATTGCTCTCACCTAATAGAAGTAGGGTTGGAGTAGGGTTGGAACCGAGTACATCCATGATCCGATCGAGTGGCATTCCAGCACCCCGGTTAGTTTGTTAGGATTGATGTTATAAAAAACAATAAACAATCAGTCACCTTTATTTACCATTTAGATCATATCCCCTGTGTATCTAAATAAATAGATTTCTAAAGTTGTTTTGAGTCAAAATTTTTAAATTTTGACCGAATTTTTAGAAAAACCCCGTTGAGATTTATGTCGTCAAATTAGTATTATTAGATATATCATAGAATATATTTTTAAAATGTGCTCATTTTATGTTATAGATATTGTTACTCTTTCCTATAAAGTATCACCCTGTTTTTCAGCAATACTTTTCAGCGAAGAAACAGTGTTTTCCTCTCATAACAAATCAGCATCAGATAAATTTCAGCGAAACGAACAGGGCCATATATTTACATGGACTTAAATCATTAAATGGTTTTGTAAATACGTCCTAGCAGGTAGTTATACTTGTTAAAAAACACAAATACTGTAGCAAGTGAGAAATTTCGAGGAGAGAACTAAATCCAACTTCCCTTTAACTGCTAATTCATTAGGTGCCAATAAAGTGGTTTAGTGGCTGAAATCCTCCTTATATGAATTAAATAGATGATTAGTCTATCTAATCACATTTACTCTATCCCGTATTGGCTCTTTAAGGGCCTGTTTGGATTGGAGGAAATCCAAAGGAATTTTGGAGGAATCCAATCCTATGGAAATGTTTTGTATTTTGGTGTTTGGAATGAAGGAAACTTCAACAGTAAAACAAAGAGAAGTTTCCTACCTCCATTCATTTCACGGGAAACAAAACATCCAGTCCAAACCAATGGATTCACGAAGACCGAGACAGCAAGAGAAGAGAAACAAAAAATAATGTTACTTCCTGCGTTTTTCCTGTGTTATGGATTCCTGCGTTTCAAACACCCCTTCTAGTTATTTCCCACGTTTTTCCTTTCCACTGTTTTATCACTACACACTCACCCCATTCCTGTGTTTTTTTTTCTATTCCCATATTTTTTATTCTTACGTCCTAAACAGGCCCTTACCGTTTTTCTCTCTTTTTGGCCATTTATTTGAAACGGTCAAACTATTTAATGGACCGTTTGTTTAGAACATACTCCTGCATGTTAAATGGACCGTTTATTTGGAGTATACCATATGGTTGGTCTCGTTTACCATTTAAATTGCAAAGGGTTGTCAGGACTACTGCTGCATTGTGCAGTTGCTTCAAACATTTGATATTGGAAATCTGACGGGCCATGGAATCTTTGGAAAACTATAGGTGCTGCTGGCTGCTGGTACCTTGGTCCAAGAAAACATGCCCATGGACATGGCGGCATGGCCCGTGGGGTAGATAATTAGAAGCATAACCAATGAATGAAGCATTGACGATGAGGTCCAAGCTAGCCCAAGAAAACCTACTACACATGTTGGGGCAGTGGCATCATGTGGCGGCAGGTGCCAGATGTGTCAACTCGGATGTTTGGAGCTGTTTGATCCAGGGCTAAGACGGTCTTCAATTGGTGACTCTATCGACATCTAAACTAAAAATAGATAGTAGGAGATCTAAAATTAGCCTCCAACAGAGCATCTATATGGGAGACCTATTTTGAATTGTCTGAGAGACACAACCTAAATATGAGTATCCTCTCTTCTGGAAACTCATTTATAGAAAGAATTCTCTTTTAGATCCTGTTGTTGGAGAATATGTCGAATGGGTATTGAACCTTTTGACTGTAGTGCTACCCAAACGTTGAATGAGTCTTGTATTTTAGGTGTTATTGTTGGAGATAGTATAAGGCCATCCACAGTGTGAGCCGTGCCCGATACTGTTCACGTATGCCAGCTCACAGTGATGCTCGGTTGAGTTTGGGGCTGCAGCGTGTAGAAGCGATGCCAGAAAAAGTATCGCATTCTTTGGGCGCGTTCGTTGGTTTGGATGTTCCAGACCAGCCGGCTACTTCCCTTATAATTTACTGTTTATCAATTAGTTGAACAGTGTTTTTTTTCTCACAATAACCAGTCAATTTTAGCTAAGTTTTAGACCAGCAAACAGTGTTTATCTTCCATCAGCGATCTGACAACAACAGCAGAGTGCTGGCTGCAGTCTCACCGCAACAGTACAATACTTGTTTTTTTATTGTTTTGGGGCACCGGTGTAACTTCGTTCTCCGCTCCCATTTTTTTTGGCAGCACTCCAAATTGGCACTGCCTACCGCAGTGTGTGAAGTGAAGCTTGAATGCTCTCTCCCGTCTTTTGGCACCGCACAAGCACAACATTGCGGAAGGGCTTAAGTTCAGTCCTGACACATCGAAGGTTTGAGGTCAATTAGAAA